CACTACAAAAAGAACTCGACTAGCGTAGGCAAGAATTATATGTGAAGAGATCTATCGAAGCAACAGTCCCAGCAGGGTTTTTACTTCGACACTAATGGTGTGGAACGATGCGCTAGCCCTAGTCAAGAACATAAGAAGTGTGACTGAACAAAAAACTCACCTTGGAAAGCCGCTAGAAAGGGAGCTGAACGGCTTCGAAGTGGGCGTGGTTGCTCAGTCTGGCTGCAGTCCGCCTCGTCCGTTTTAACACACGCACTTTCCAGCGGGACTTTGCAGACCACGTTTTTGACTCACCCTTACTATCCCTACATTTCTGAGCTTATTGATAGGCTGGACTAGCGGGATGGTCTTACCGCCATCAATGCCGAAACGGTTAAAACCCTACGCTGGGCTGCCTGTTACTTCAACCCCCCCCGGTGACGAAATAGATCTTATATCACTGAACAAAAAGAGTGGAAATATTGTTCAGTCAGGTTGACTGCAGGTTCAACAGGATCCATTTACGTTGTTGACATTAGCGGGGGATGAGAATGTTGCCGAGCGAGACTCCGACGACGATCACGAAAGGTATCTTTTCCTTTGTTTTGGCCTTTCCACTTTTTCTGTTACACTGTGTTCTTTATTTAGTAGCGGTATCTAGGAATGGAGCGTTTGCAGTACGCATGCGCAATGAACAGCATTTAGGTACAACTCCACCGAGGTACTGCCAGAAAGCCGTTCCTGGTAGTACTGAATAAGAAGAAGCCAACGGAGCTGGATGACTTCGATTTTTCGAGAAATGTAAGTGAACCAGAAGAAATGTTCCCTACCCATTACCTGTGCGTGGTGAGGGGTCGTTTTCATACGATAAGGGAATCATTTTTCATCCAATCTCGGTCTTGCTGACATCTGGCGATGAGATGGCCGAATCACTTGTTTCTTCTTATGACGTCAGAGTTTAAAGGAGGATTGCACGGAAAGAACGAAGGTCGAAGAAGGGAGAAATCGCCTAGTGGGGAGAGCGGTGAATCTCTTGAGGGTGCGGACAGACACGCAATCGGCATCGAAAGATTTGACCTCTGAGATCTAGCATGGCTCAAAGTTGGCGAGTTCGGCGATCTCCGCCCACCGATCGTCTGATCACTCGCCGTAGTACAATAGGTGGCGAGTGATTAGATAGCTGAGAGAGCGTAGGGTTGAAGAGGGCAAAGCGATGAGAGTCCCATCAATGCTCAAATCAACGGACAAGGAAGGGGTCCCATTTCTCCGGTTCTGGGCCGTTTTTCGTGGTTTCGCTTTCTTTCTGGTACTACTCACCATCTCTACCTCAATTTGGAATGGGTTGCTTTTCCATCGTAAATTCGTCCTTTTGAAAGCAACAAACCACGTGATCAAGATTTTTGCGCGGGATGCGGTCGAAATTAAACTGGTGGCATGCTTCGAAACGGTTGCAAAAAACCAATGCACTCCGCCGATAAGGCCATTTGCAAGTATTCCCTCTCTCCCTCCCTAAAATAAAGGAGGGGCAGGGCCGGACGAGTCCTCCGAACTTGCTTGCTCCACGGCTCCACTAACCCGCGCGTATTTGAATTAGCCGCTACGTAGTAATCCGGGCTACTATTATGGGGTGTACACGATTATTTCGTCCGTAAGTTCACATTAGCGCCTGAAGTTCACTTTTTAGAGCCCTATTCGCGCACTTTCCAGCCGCGGCAGCGGCACATCTGTGATACTCGTGGGCTGCTCTATCCCACTCACAGAAAAGATTCTTTAAGCGACCTCATCTGAAGATGGGCTCTAAGCAAGTTCTCACTGCTCGCCCACCTTTCTAATTAGGTCCTGCAACTTTTCGTTAGGCGACCGCAACTAAGGTGGCAACCTATCCTGAATTCGACTGCTGTGTATAATAAGGTGACGGCGTGGTGACGCAAAATTTGCGGTGTGCTACACGTCAGCGAAATGCGCAAGAATTGTTTGCAGGCGTGTAGGCCGACACAGAAGCGCATACGGCAAGATGGAATTCTGAAGAATGGGGGTGGGCAATAGTAAAACTGGTGATACTCGAGTCAACCGCCGCGCAACAGAAGAACCCAGTCATAAAGTGATCCTACGACGCAAACCCATCGTTACCTAGTGTGACCGCAGCTCAACAAGTGCGTGATAGCAGTTCTCAAAAGCGGCGATTACAAGATGGTTGGAGGGTGGTGTAATTTGATGACGTCATTAAGCGTGTATTGCGGACCAGACCCCCCAGAGTGCTAGAATGCAGGGTCAACCGTCGCGCTCGCACTTTTCCAAGAGTTTTCCGACCTTCTTCCCTTTAGGAGGTGTCGATGCGACTCCCCACCACCGCCATCAGTCTTGTGGTTAGGACAAAGCCCTCCCTACCCCGATCACCACATGGCTGTTTCGACAGTATTTGATTCCAAGACCAGTCGACACATCCACTTTCTTCTCCAAAACAGCCGTCGAGTGGGGTGGGGTTGCGGGGGAGGAGGGAGGAAGGGGTAAATTGCTGTCCTGAAACTGGGTAAATCCACTACTTTGTTTGACTTTTTTGACTATAACCTCTCTTTTATGAAACTTTTGACAAACTCGTCGAAAAACCCGTCAACACAATCCCCTTTTACGCCCCAAAATGCGACCCCTTCCCATAATCGCAAATGCGACCTCTCGTTCGAATAGTGCGAACGGACGGCTGACCTCTGAGGGGTATGGTTTGAGCCCGCCTCCTAATGTCCTTTCGCCAATACCGCTCAATTGAGTCATCAGAACCGTAATCTCCGGCCTTCGTGATCAGTCTTTAAAGTTCAGGAGTACCGTGTGACTAGACTGCATACAGTGCGTATCATAAGTATAGACGCACCCCTGAAAGTACCACAGCTGACTTTCATAGAAGTTCTTGACAAACAGGCTTATCACCATCTGAATCAGCATGCACGAAAACCTATGTTTACCAGCTTCCACGTGAATTGGAAAGAATTCGGCCTTTTTTCAACAGGTGAACATTATTTTGCCTGTATCAAAAGTATAGACGCACCTCGGAAATCTAATACATTTGTTATGAAAACAAACATATAACAACTTCTTGATAATTAATTGTTCCTCCATGTTTAGAAATGATTTCAAAAATTTGATTTGGCATTGATTCAACTAATCTATACAGCAATTGCACATCCAAACAATCCCATGCCTGACCAATTGCCATCTTGAGATCTCTCACTCTATCAGAAGTTGTTCCCTGGTGGTAAACATCTCCGACAAGGATGCCCCAGATGCTCTCTATGAATAATTATCAGGATAGTCCATGGCGACTGTATTTCGCTCCTCTAACCATGATTTTGTGGACCTGCTCGCGTGGGTCGCCACGTTGTCTTGTTGGAAACGAATTCTCCTTCTTCAGAACGTGCCAGAAAAGGTAGTAGATGACGACGTAGCACGTCCTGGTAGTCCGACGAGTCCACATGAGTGGAGGTGAAGGCGATCTCCAAGCTTTCCGATGGAATCCTCCCAAACTATCACGCCACCTCCACCGAAATCACGTCTACTGAAGTACTTCAGTTCCTTGCGGAGATCTCTCCAGTAGAACGCATTTCCATCTGAGCCGTCCAAATTGAACTATTTCTCGTCAGAAATATCACCTAAACAGGAAATTTCAACTAGAGAACTTTCTGAGGAGGACGCGTATCTTCGATCAATTTGTTGCCATGTTCTTTCTGGCAAACTGGGGCCGAGCCTCCTTGTAGGCGTCGGTAAGTGGAGGAGCAGGGCGGAGACGACATCCAACTATGTTGCTGTTGCGCTTGATTGCCCTCTATATCGTCATTCTGGACAAGGGACCCAGTAAGGTGGCTCGAACTCCAACTGATGCTGATAGTCGAATTGGAAACGAGACGTCCGTTCGCATGTTCTTACTGTGGAGTGGTCTCTCCGGCCTCCCAAATCTCTTTATTTCATCCATCGGGTCTCAGATCGTGTAGAAATTGGTCGATAGGACTTGATAAACGCCGCAGTTGTTTAGCATTTTAACGATTGCTCAGGCCTGCTGTGTACAGGGCGCGAACCTGTGCCTACTCGGCTTCTGACGAATGTAGACCTCGTGGCATTCGATATTGTGCAGAGTACTCATTCCTAGTTATTGGTTTCCTGAAATGGCAAGTTGACCATGTGTAGCCTATTATTTTGACCAAGTTAATGGAGTGCGTCTATACTTTTGATACAGGCAAAATAATGTTCACCTGTTAAAAAAGCCGAATTCCTTCCAATTCACGTGGAAAGCTGGTAAACATAGGTTTTCGTGCATGCTGATTCAGATGGTGATAAGCCTGTTTGTAAGAACTTCTATGAAAGTCAGCTGTGGTACTTTCAGGGGTGCGTCTATACTTATGGTACGCACTGTAGTCAGAATTGAGACCTAAAAAGGCCCAACACTTCACATAATCTGTCACCTTCTTTTTGATGCCGGCTAACCATGCTGATTCAGGCCGATCTTAACGAGAGTGGCACGACTCAGGGCCAAATGATCTTCATCACCCACGTCAACCAGTACAAGGGTGTGTTCGGATCTCCTTCGGTGCCGTTTAATTTACTTTCTTATCGAACGATATCATCCTCTGGATTCGAGACATTGACCTTACAATTCGCTCTCTTATCATGTAATGATTTATGTGCTTATTTTTTCAAATTCAGAACCTCATCACGTCCGTGTCTTCTGGAGCTGGTTCGGCTGGACCTGCTGCACCGGCTGCTGCTGGTGCTGCTGCCCCTGCCGCTGCTGCAGCTGCACCAGCTGCTGAGTCGAAGAAGAAGGAGGAAGTTAAGGAGGAGTCCGATGACGACATGGGATTCGGTCTTTTTGATTGAGCGCCTTAAGTTGTTGATTGTTATTGATAAACTTGTTACCAGCTTTTTGTGCGTGTGTTGTGTGTGCTTACTGAGGTGAAGTCATTTTTAGCCGTTTTAAACAGAACATTCATTGGCAAAAGTCATATACACCCGTATAAAGTTTGACAGAATTATGATCACAGTGTCTCTATCTGAATTTCCTCGCTTTTCAACTTCATTTCTTCTGCTCTTCTACGCAGTCCTTCCTGAATTCGGCGCATCCTTCTCAGATGTTTCTCTATACCTAAAATTAGGATTGAAAATACCGTATGAAAAAGAGTTCTGTACCGAAGGAAGGAGAGGGGAAGTTGTGGGTGGGTCATGTTGCTTACAGTATTAAATACGATTTTTGCAAGAGCAGGACGCGGTTATACTTGGCGACCGCCTTGCAGTTCGGAGTGTGTGGTACATAGTATCCAAATGTCGTTCTGCAATCGCATGATCGATGCGTAATATTCGACGGGTACAGACGGGCAGACGAAGTGCAAGGCGGTCGCATAAAGACCGAGGCCGTAGGAAGTTCTAGTGTGGGTGCGAAAGTAAAATCGAAATAGTTCACCCACTCCAACCCAAAGACAGATTACTGCGTACAAATTCGCAGCACATGTACCCTATCCCCCCCATCTCCCCCCTCAGATATAAAGGATCAGTATGAGTGATAAAATGGCGTAAATAGGAAGGACCTGCTGCTTCTGGAATTACTGTATCGATTTCCTTCGATCCTTCAATAGTGAAGATGTCAAGGTTTCGGGGAGCTGGCATAGGCTGTAAATCACCTGGAATGCGAAGTATACTTTTACCCTGCTTATTTCACTGAAATTGAAGCTCACCGTTCAGAGGTGCGACTTGATTACGAGCAGGCTTTGGCAACGGATGAGGTAAAGGCGCAGGAGATGGTCCGAAGACATCGGAAGACATATGAGATACAGAAGGGTGAGGTGAATCAGCAGCCTGAAATGCAGCTCTTGACTTTCAGGTCTCAGTAATGGATACTCCCGCGAGGTGTCTACACAAACAGATGGAGGTGGGGTCCATGTCAGACTTACCGGAGATTGCGTATCGGACACGGATGGCGAATGAGATGACGGCGTTTTTGGCCTAGACTCAGGCTTGTGCTCCTCTTCCTCCTCTACATTTGACAGTTGTGCGTGATCTTCGGCAAAAGTTGTGAAGAGTGTCCCGACGAAGATCACCGTTACCAGTTATCGTGCCAGTTACCGATCTTCTGCAGTGGATGATAATTATTAAAGTTTACTAGCAGTGAATGTACCGTAATCCAGTTCAGAAGCAAAACAGGATCACGAACGGAGGATTTAAAGGCAGTGATCACAGGCGGCTGGAGGGTGGTGGTTCTTTTAATGCGAAGTCATCGAGCCGTCAATTGCGTGAAACATCGTTAGGCCATTGTCAGACATCGTTGGATCTGCGCGATGCGGCTGAGGCGTCTGCGTCGCGAGGCGTCGCGGCTAGTGAATCACTCATTGCTGGGGTTAACCTCGCAACCGCGACGCGGGAGACAGGCGCGATTCGCAAAGCCGACATCGGTTAGGCTGCTTTCATAGTTCGCATCGGTGCGGTCGGTGCCGACGGCGCCGACCGCACCGACAGTGTGAAGAGCGTCAATACGCGCTCTGGCGCATGACGCGAACGTTGGGCGCAGATCGCGCGCTCCGATCGATAATCCTGGTTTTGGTGTATTTCTTGTGCTTTTCGATGTTTTTTTTCGCGCCGTTTTTTTTTTAATTCGTGTGTTTCCTGTTCATACTTATTCTTTTATGGGCGCAATGTGGCTCGGGGGGGGGGGGGAAGTCGGTGCGCGGCTCAGCGATGTAGTGTAACTCGAACATTCCAGCTTTTCACGGGACATTTCAGCTTCTCACGCATGCTAAGTGACTGCCCTCACCCCCCTTGAATTGGCCACACCCCCTGGCTTGCGAGTTTCCTGTTGCCACAACGCCCCGCGCGACGGCTGTCCCCCCCTCCGAGCCACATTGCGCCCTTTTATGACTTTATTAATACTTTCCAGTTGTTCCGCGGGCGAGCGACGTCGTGAACCCGTCGCACAACTCCGGGTGGATGTGGCCATACCCCCCCCCCCCCCCCCCCCCCCCCCCCCCCCCCCCCCCCCCCCCATTACGGGTGTGTTGTTTGATCGTAAGCAATTTTGTTTATTCATATGAAGTGAGTGCAAAAAACATCGAAAAAATACAAGAAATACACCAAAACCAAGATTATCGACCGGAGCGCCCCATCTGCGCCCAGCGCACGCGTCATGCGCCAGAGCGCGTGTTGACGCTCTTCACACTGTCGGTGCGGTCGGCGCCGTCGGCACCGTCGGCACCGACCGCACCGATGCGAACTATGAAAGCAGCCTTAAAGGCGGCTCAACCACAATTGCCAGCGCGCCAGGGGTCTAATCCACCAATGGGATCAAATGGCGTATCAAAACTGCACCGCTCTTCAGGCATCGTGATCACTGCCTTAAAGGGAATTGCTGCGCTTAAATGGTTGGCTCACCGATCAAGAGCGGCTATTTCGCTGTTCACTCGGTCCTGTTCTTGACGCATCAGCCGTAACCGTCGCTCATCGCGTTCTGTTTGTTGCCGTATTTTCAACTCTAACTCAGCTGTATGTACACCCTCAGAGAGGAACACGTAATGTTCGATAATCTGTAATACTTCTGTACTAATTGCTGTCGATTAAATATGACATAACATATAACATGTGGCTAAAATCTGGTTTGAATTCGCATCTTAGAACATGGCGGAATCCGGAGCAGCGTTTATGTTTGCGACTGGGCGACCATGCCTCAATTTCTCGTAGTCAACTCATACGCTTCTCGTTTCAAATCTGCCAACGGCGGACAGACAAGGAAAAGGTCCGGTCGCTCGTAGATCTCTAAATATTACAGTCCGTGCACATAGACGTCCAATCCCCCCTCATTCTACATTTGTGCATCACAAGCACGCAAAGTGGTAATTTCATAGGTACGACATGCGGCAAAATCGATGCAGGCGTTAATGTGTTGAAGTTACAGGACGTAACATCTAACAGCCGATTTGCAGTCGTCGTGCTGCTTGGATCGGGTCTAAACTTTGTGAAGTACCAGTCCTCACTTTGACCTCAAGCTCATGACAAGAACTCCCTCTCCTCCGTTGAAATGAGGAAGAGGCGTACCCGCCGACCGTGCTCGATAGTCCTGTTACTGTTTCAGGCGAGTTGTCCGAGATTTTGACTTGCTCTATGGCTCACTAACGCTGCGCATATTTCAATTATTCTTGATGAAAAACTCGTCAAGTTTGTTTGGTGTACGGGTACCGTGCGCAAGGTATCTTCGTCCATTAACTCATTACCCGCGTCATTTAGCTTACTTTGCTTAAGGCCCTAATCCACTGTCGCACGCTTTCACAAGCCAACCGCGGACAACAGCACATCTTCGATACTCGTGGGCAACTCTATCCCCCCCCCCACAATTGGCTTGTTCGACATGATCGTCTCATCTTGGGGTTGCTACTTGGAATTGTGTGGTAGTTCCGTGCAGGGTGAATATCGGTCGAGGAAATCCTCGACAGGGGGGTCGTACCTGTCGGGCTGGGTCATGGGGGGTCGTACTCTTGGGGGTCAGTAACAGCAGTGGTATCGTGGTGCAGATAGGTAAGAGGGTATAGCGCAGCAGAAAATGAAAATATCTGAAAAAAACATGATATTAAATTTTCTTTGCAGGTTCAGTCGCTCCATTCCTCCACCTTCATGAGAAGGGCGTATTTGAAGGCAGTACAAAGAATGAAAGTGCATCCCCGCAAAGAAGACTGCCACATGTGCGCACGCGCTGCAAAGGCACCTCCTCTGCCTATCGCTCGCTCCTTCTCCCTTAATACCTCGCTGAGAATGACACTGTTGTTAGGGACCCTGTCGCAAAAACGACAACCGTGAAGGAAAAGCCCTGGGCAAATGAAGTTGTTCTTTAGGTTGTAGGAGTTACGAAATGCGTTTACTACAATGCAGCTTCTGTCAACTGGTCATGATCATATGACACCTTTCGAATCGATTCTGCAACTGTGAGTGGAGCACGGATGCATGGCTACACCAATACAAATTCGATGATGACGATTGCCCCTTTTCCTATTGCTTATGTTGGGAGGATGTTTTCTAGACCCATTTCAAGCGTTGCCAACAATTACACTTGCAATGGTGAAGAAGGGAGCGGATTTTCAGGTGGCCGGATCCGTCCTCGTTATGAGCAATACTAGAAGAAACTAAGAAGAACGTCAATAACTTCGTAAGCATTCCCAAAACTATCTTCCTTTTTCAGGACCTTACGACATTAGAGAGATATTGCTTTTGAAGTGGCAAAAACTAGCATGAAAATTTCAGCGTCCTCGACGTTTACTCGACGAAATTTGAGAGACCCTATCTTTCTGCATGGAAGGCTTCAGAGCAATTTCAATACTTCTTGGAAACGCGAAATCCAGCTCTATCTAACCCTACCTCAAACTGCTTCAAAGGTTATGAAATGGAGGAATGCAACCTTTTCATCGAGGGTGTAGATTTCGACGTTTTTTTTCGGGATTTCAGCAAATCTGACCCAGTGACAATCGCGCCGCAGCTGCCGTTGAATCGGCCTTGATGATACACTCGGCTGTTTCGATATACTCAAGCAGGAATCAAGATTGAATCGCAACCCCGTGTCTTCAGGATTTCTGTGCATTTCTGAACGAACCTCGCTTTGAGGTCACACAAAGTTAATGCCTCTTTCCTCGAGTCGATATTTCAGTATGTACACAAAAGTATGCAGCGATGGAAGACGTGCATAGATGACAAGATGAAGCGTCCTTAGCATTATTTTGCAGAATTTTTTTGATTTGTTTTGCAGGATTTATTTTAATTGAATTAATTTGCTCTGTTAGAGGGGGTCGTGCCAGGATCTCGATTTCGGGGGGGGGGTCGTACCTCTGCGACCACGTACTCGACACGATTTTCACCCTGGTTCCGTGTGCTACTGCCGCACAATTTGTGTCAGGCGCCGGACGCGAGCGGGTGATTTGCTTGAGATGGAACGGAAACTATCGATACTCAGCAGAAGCAGCAGAGATGCATGTTCATGAATAGCTAAGTAGATTCGGATACCCGTTGGTTGCCATTTTGTTAACTATAAACACGGTTTTGTACGAAAATTTTATGTTTTTGTCACCCAAAAATCTGTCTATCAGACCGCACTTTATGAGTTGTATTGCTCTGCGCATCTTTTAACAATGATTCTTATAAAATTCATAAAAACATGCAAACTTATTGACACACCTTATCTATAAATGTGCAAAACTGTGCCAGCAACAGATTGGCGGCACGTTGAGGTCGTCGCGTTACCATTGGTGGAGGATATCTAGCATTGTCGAGCTGAAACAAAATTTGATTGAAGAAGTCGTGGATAATAAACAGAGAACTCGACTTGGTTGGCCGGGGCTCGCCTTTTTCTCGGTACGCGCATCACTTCGAATCTCGAGTGAGGCTGTGGAGATGTTTGAATGCACAGTGAGAAGTTAACAGTGACATACGAGTGAAAAGCCTCTTGGTTTGGATTCAAACGCAGTTTTTCACGCATTACGATACGGCTCTAGTGGCCAAGATCATATTTTGTTCAAATAACACTTTGTGCATGGATCAATGGATTAGGAAAATATCGGAGCTTTCTTTACTACCTTACAAGTCCTCGGAAAGGGAAGTCTGTAACAAAGACACACCACGTAACCATGGAGCGACCACTCACAAATTTTCAAAACAGTCGTGTTAGATGATGGGCCAACCCACTCCAAGGAAATAAAAATTCGTATGTACTCGAGATGCAGGGAATTTTGTGGAGGTTAATGTGAAAAATTTAGTTGCGAAGCGATTAATCACTTGTGGTATTGCCTTGCAGGACAGACTCCTAGAAAAGAGCCACAGATGTGACACACCGTGCATGGGGATCATAGGCTCGCCTTTGAGGAATGAGGTACTTACCTACTCGAAATATGGGGGAATTTTGCCACACTAATAGTTCGTAAATAGTAGAACCTACTGGTATGCTTCCAATACTACTAACACATCGCGGAATCATATGACTGAAGTTAAAA